GAGATGGGCTTCCTCTCATTTGAATAGGAAAACGGCATTAGCATCCGGAATCTGTGGACGCTATGTGTTTTGGAGGCTATTCTGGATGTGTGTTAGTGTACACCCATTATGGGAGTTCCACGAAGAACAATGGAATATATGAATCAATAGAGACTTTTAGCTATATAGGTTGCTATACAAATCTTTAATTAGACCCCACATTGAATATGAGAATCAGGTCTGGCGTCCTCATTACGATACACACATTGAAACAATAGGAAATGTTCAACATGGAGCAATAAAATAGGTCCCTGGCCTGAAAGACTTATCCTATAAGGAGCGTTTAGAGAAACTAGATATACCAAAACTAGCATATAAAATCAAAGTATCTATGTTCATTTCTATTTCTACGAACCACACTTGGAAGCCCTCGGACTTTACAGTCTGACGATATAAACAAAAACTCCTCAGTTGCTGTCTGACGGACTAAACGTTAAAACTGACGTCTTGATATTAATCTATTCGGAATGTGAATGTTGAATTGCAGTTTGTGTGAAATGAATTTGCTTTGTTAGTAATCCAAATATGAAAAAGAGGTTCAATTAGTAAAAACGACGGTTTCTCAGTTTTGCAGTATTGTTTTGGTGTTTAATTGATGTTGTTACTTTGTGTATGAGAATAATTATCGGGAAAGTGCTAAAAAAGAAAAGATGACGAGAAATATGAACTCACTTAATTAAATAGTTTATTGAGTTTAAATGAATGAATACGTAACATAAAAGAACAGATGTGAATAAAAATACGAGTGAAAATATCATGAAAAATAACGAATGAGTAAACACGATTTTTTGTACATTAACTAAGGACGTACAGAAGTAGTCTTTATACATTTTAAAGAGTAAATCAATCATCAAATTAAAGCTATATATATAGTTATATATTTTGTATCAATGAACATATTTAAACTGTTTCCAACTAATCATTTTCTATGAACATATTTTAAAAGCACATTGCTGTGTAACTTTGTAAACAAGATATGATAAAGATAAAACTTGTCAACGAGCTCAAAGTTTACTGCACGCTTAGACTATATTGAATATATAAACAAACAAACTGGCTATCAAGTGCATATTTTAATTTTAATCTAAACATGTTTTACATGTGGAAGAATTAAATAGTTGATTCCAGGATTTTTTTCTCTCTCATGACGCAGTCTTATTTTTTACATCAACAGTCTTATACATAACTGTTATAAGATGATAATATGGTACTCCGTACAAACATGTATATCAATTCAAAATGTTCTAACCTCTTCAACGTATCTCAACTCCATACACCTGTTTTACTCTGGAAGTTTAAAAAAAATAAGTCTTTAACTCTCTGCGTGGATGGTCGGCATGCTCGTTTGTAAAAGACATATTGGCATATAATAGATTAGGTACTGGTATATTTTATCACAGGAATTACCACAATCGAAGCAGATTTTCATGGTAAGAGTTACGATCGAAACCAGAGGTCTCCATGTTTTTGATGACACATGATTTATCAAAACATTATATTTCCTCCCGCTTATAATCTCTATTAGACATAAATATCAAATTGCCTTGTCTGTCGTTCTGCTGTTACGCTCACTTTCGCTCTCATGAGTTGTACAATTTGGGAAAGTATAAAGTATTGCATAAATGGACCTGATAATTTGTTACAGCTGTATTCGGACCTAGAGTAAAGTGTACAGAGTAATATCACATGTTTAACGGGTTTAGATTGACTTTCGGTCGTTATTTAAGAGTTGAGGGTGGCACTTTTACCGAAAGTCGATCTAAACCTCTAAAACATGTAAAATCACTCTTAAAGGGGCATCACGGTGAAGTAACTTTATTTTTTGTCTTTTTTTCAAATACTACATAAACATATCAAGTGAGACTCCTTATGGAAAATAGCGATCGGATTTGGCTGAAATAGATTCATAAAAATGATTAAATCTAAGAAAATCATCGGTATTTCTACCTGTCTGACCAACGTTTTGTTCAGGGATTTCCCTCTACTAGCGCATGCGCATAGCACAACATTTCTTTGTAAACAAAATGACTGACCGTGTGAAGTAAGCGAAAGAAAAGTGTTGTACCGTGTCAGCTACGAAACGAAAAGTTGCCAAATGGTCAAAAGAT